ATATATATGAGGCATCGTAGTGAAATCAGACACTCGTCAAAATAATGAGATAGAAGATATTGGCATTTTTCCGCCAGTGTGGGAAATGTTTTAGAATTTTTGTTTTTTGGCTCAACATCTTTGATGTCCATTTAAAAACACATTTTTGTGTGGATTTACTGAGAAACATGGATTAAAGGCACAAAATATGTGAATTTCCACTTTCTTTGGACTCTCAGAGTTTGGAAATCAACCAACTTTAGCAGCATTTTCTCGCTAATTTTACTTCTGAAACCGGGCAACCCCCACCTCCTTTAATCACACATAATCTCGCCTTCTAGTCAAGATAGATGTGTATTTTTTCATTAAAAAATAATTAAATGAACAAGCTTTAAGATGATATCAGTAACTCCACATGCCCAAAAATTGACGAATGCCTTATTCTACCGCGTCTGGACACATATGTACAGTAATATATACACAGTATTTCACAATTTGACTGTAACGTATATACACACCAGATAGATATATTTATATCATCATCATCCAGTGCCTTGCCGACTGGTGTGGGCGATCATAGACCTCCACTTCACTCTTTCTTGCGTTGCAGTGATGGTGTCTGTCATTCTTGCTGTTCCCAGCCATGTTGTCAACTTGTCCCTCTGTCTGCCTCTGCCTCTCTTTCCATCAAAATTGCCTGTTGTTACAATATTCTCCAATGCTTCTTTCCGCATTGTGTGTCCAATGAACTTTGCCTGTCGCTTTCATAAATTCGTCATTAAAAGCATATATAGGTCTATACCTACAGACTGTGAAATCCGTCATTTCATGAAATGTCTGTGAGGGTCTGTCGTTTCACGAAATGACTAAAAATTCCTAGATCTAGTCATTTCATGAAATAACGGAAATTTAGTTACACTTTATTCAGTCTGACTTATTACACCCCCCCGGGCAGTGCCACTGACTGAAGTGTCTTTAGGCCATTCCCAAAGGGGGGACATATCTCGTTCAAGCATAGTAGAATTGTAAATGGGTTGATTCATGTCACGCTCCTAACTGTGCCTGATCTACAACAGGGAACTGCTGCTTTTTCTTTCCTGATCCTTACTATTGTCATTTTCCTCGACTTCTTTTGTATGTTTCTCACTCCCTTGTGACCTGCTATTTTGGGGTTACTTGATAGTCAAAGCAGACCTTGTGCTGTTGACGCTAGAGAGGTGAGCAGTCTAAGTCTGATTCCCTGTAAAGACTTCTCTGTTGACACCCACCCCTTGGTGCTCATATAACCTTATGCAGTTGCGAGCGCCGTAAAACCCTCTACTAATAAAAAAAATATTTTTTAATGACTTATTACAGTCAACTTGTGTAACTCAATATGCTTAAAAAGGCTGTTGAAAGATGAAGTCCCGCCATGTATATTATCTTCTCAACAAGTGTGAAATTCTTTAATATGGTGATTTGCAGAAACTTATGAAGATGAGCTTTCAGTCTACTACGCCGGCATAGAAGGCACATTCAACATCATCAAGAAAGCACATGCTGCAACTGTGTTTGTGTGCATGTGTGTGCATGCGTGTGTGCATGCGTGTGTGCGTGCTTGCACATGTGTGTGTGCGTGCGTGCGTGCGCAAGTGTATTTTTCTCTAAAAGAATTGTCTCACTCATTTTATTTGTCTATCTCATGTACTGCACTAATATATTTTCCAACTTATAGATTATAATTTATGGATGCACCGGCCAAAGGTATTTAAAATCAATACAAGCATTTTGAAAATCTGAAAATCTTTGTCATCCCTGCCCAGCCTCTCTCTCTCTCTCTCTCTCTCTCTCTCTCTCTCTCTCTCTCTCTCTCTCTCTCTCTCCCTCTCTCCCTCCCTCCCTCCCTCCCTCCCTCTCTCTCTCTCTCTCTCTCTCTCTCCCTCTCTCTGTCTCTCTCTCTTTTTCTCTCTCTCTGCTCAAAGTTTGTAGAGATGCATACAGTGCTTTTAATTACAATGCTTCGGTCTCAACTTTTTGCATGCAATATATTATTAATTATCCTTTTTTGTTTTCCATCCCAGACTTGAATATGCTTCGTGCTGTGAACTATGATTCTTCACAAGAAAGACCTGGGGGTTGTCGTGAGCACTCTGCTGTCATTCACAAAGGCTTCATGTACATATACGGAGGGTTCACAGACAGCTCTGGCTCTATCAATGAATTTTGGGCTTTTGACATAGGTATATTATGTTTGTTCACTGTTGTAGGCAATGTAAGAGGTGAGAGTAGACTAAGATGCCTTACTGAGAGAACCTGAACTGATGGGTTATGGGGAATTACCAGATTAATGTAGGTTATAGGTTTTGAGAGTATTGGTGCAGAGAAGAGTGTCAAACCATGATTTCTGACATTTGCCTCAGATCAGGCATCTGCTGAAATTAATAATTTTCTGATCATAAGTCTTCTATATTTTCATAACAACCTAGACCTGTTAATACAGTGGACCTTGGATGGAACAAAATCAGCAAGACCTCAGTTTCACCGAGAAAATAAAAATCCTCTTTTTTTCCACGCTTCTTTGCCTTTGTGTAAATCTAAATACTTCAGATAGAGCAAGGTCAGAAAATCCTAACTCTAGCCGTAAAGAGATATTGAGTCAAGATTGCCCAGTCACTTTATTGAACAAACACAGGCCCACGCAATGTAGTCATCTGGCTTTCAATCACTCCTCATCAATATATAGTGCCACGAAAGGGACTGAATAGAAGGGACATGGGTGTGGGAAAGGATGGTCAGTGATTTACAAACCCATTCTTTGTTTCTAACTCATTATGTACGGCAAAGCTATGCAAGGCACTCTCAGCACACCTCCCACGTCCCAACTTTGTGCCTATTAACCATCGTCCTGCGGGGGCCGCGTTTATGTCGCCCGATAAGCCTATTTCAGCACCTCGCCTGCGTTCTGGTCCCGAGTCAGTCCAGCCCCTGGCTCAGTGCACGCGCGCTGAGCATCATCTCACGTGAAATTCAGGTCCCGCGTCGGATCCCCATTCACGCAGGTCAAGTGTGTGTGCATCAGTCTGCTTGAGTTTGTGTGCGTTTGTTGCCTTCTTCTAGAACCACCTGCGTTGGTTCGTAATCGAGGCATACATCTCATTCAAAACACGCCAAGTTGGTAGCTCTAGATGTTCGTCCAATGAAATTATAGAAGAAATTGACCCACTTGGACATGAGGAGCTCGAAAGGATAGTCAGGAAACAAGACTTCCATTTTTCTATATAAAACCTTTCAAATGAGCTTCATTTTGTATGAAATGATACTACATGATAAAAAATAAGCTTGTTTGATAGTTTTGAATACCATTGTGAAGGTACAAAGTACAATTTGAGTGCAAAACATTCGGAAATTGACCTATATTATCCTCTTTTGAACCTCAGATCTTTCATAACAACTAGAGCGTCTAGAAAGGTTATTAGAATGGGCGTAACTACTCGTAATGTCTTATCAGCTTGTGAGAGGGGGTTATTCATGTGTTTGTAACACTTTATAAATAGAAAGCTATGAAAGATATAGCGTTATTTTCATCATCGATTAACACACTCCCACGGTATTCATGGCGAAAACACAGGTTTCCCGGCGCGCGCTGTACACCAAAGGTACACACTGAGTGACCCCGGCGGCCTGCCCGGAGCGTCCGACGTAATCGGTTGCTGATAAGATTTGCATCTCAGCACAGACGCAGGACAAGAGTTAATGCGGCCAATCAATTGTATACATTATGTTTTAAATCAAGATTTATCTGCATGACGTGACCGCTCACGGTCCAGCATTGGGGGTAACATGAGCTGTGAAACACGGTCCTGGTAGTGAAAAGGTTAATTTGATATATATATACATATATATATATATATATATATATATTTAATGTGCATCTATTAATCACAGGTGAGTTTTTGTGATATTCTGAAGTTGATGAAATTTTTGTCGTTTTTGCTGCCTTCTTTAACCGAAAATGTTTGGTTTGTGAAGCAAAGTTCATTTATGCGGGAACTGTCTCTGAAAATTGTGTTTTATGTACCAAAAATATATAATATTGTTTGGTTTGTGAAGCAAAGTTCATTTATGCGTGAACTGTCTCTGAAAATTGTGTTTTATGTACCAAAAATATATAATTTCAAACACTCATGATTTCCTTAATGATCATCCTATTGCATTAAATTTTTTAATCAAAATACCTAGAGTAAAAAGTTCTTTTGATGTGGAATAAGTTTTCACTTAAATCCATGAAAATTTAGTGTTAGGTACCTAATGAAAGTGATTTTTCTCTATGTTTCAGCTAAAGAGAACTGGAAGCACTTATCAGGTTCAAAGCCTGGAAAACGTCATGGTCACATTGCAGTGACATACGAGAGTCTCATGTTGGTGCATGGGGGCATGAAGGATCTCATGGCCCTTGCTGATTTGTGGAGCTATGATTTTGGTATGTCTTTTTTTTTCTAAAGATAGTGTTAGTAGCTTTTAAAAAAGCAGTGACAATAAATACGACACCAGCCATGATAATAATAATGACAACAGCAGTCAGCAATGAAGGAATATTGTGAAAACACTTTTCTTTTCAATTTTCAAATGGCTATTCCCAAACTGCCTTCTCCCCGAGTTTTACAGTACCACTTACCTTTTGGCCCCCCCCCCCCCAAATAGACCCACCTCTTCGTGGTGGGGGGGATTAGTACTCTTCAAATAGGAAAAGAAAAAGAGGAAGCTAACGGGTCAAGGGGTGACCCCAAAAAGAGACATATTACTTTACTATGTTTCTTACTCTTTCTATTTATTGTCTTTATTGTTTTACTTTACTACATTTATTAACTTTTTTTTTTCTCCTCTCTCCATCGACAACCTTTCTTTGACCTGGAGTTGGGACGGGTATTGGTGGGGTGGAAAGCAGAGGTTCATTGCCAGCACTGTACTGGATGTGACTTTACGTAGGGAATACCCAACTACATACATGTATTAAGCATGCACTTATCGGAGAGCCCTATGACTGCGGAGAAGGTGCAGAGACCATTTGCGTCTTGCTTGTTGACAACATTAACCCTCTGGGATCTGCCATGCCTTCCCCTGCCCCCATCTCTCGGATGAGAGGACTTGGTTGCTCTGGTAGGAGGGGGGAAATCTAGCTTCCAATTGGTATTATTATTATTATTACTATTAGTATTATTATTATTATATTATAATTTTTGTATTTCAGCAACACACAGCAACTATGCTCTTAATAGCGTCTTTTTCTTCTTTATCTCCTCAAACAACTTCTCAATATAATACAACAGACACCAACATACCCATTTATTTTTCTTACAAGCTCTCTGTGATGGAGTTGGGTTTTTGTTTGTGGCATTGCACCTACAGCCACTGCTTTATCTCCTACCCCGGGATGGAAGGAAAATCACAGAACCACCAGTTTTAAATGCTATTCACAAATGATAGAATCCCATACGAGCTGAGATGCCGCCTCAGTAATCAAAGTCTCCCCCAGGTCTTAGTGGGCAACCAAGCTGGCCTGGTGGATGGTTATTGGAAGAAAAAGAAAATCAGAAAGCAGAGAAAATTGAAAAACAAGAAGAAAACACCCCCAACAACTGGTAACGGAAAAGAGAAGCTTATAGACTTCAATATTCTTCAGGCAAATGTCTGTGGCTTGGACAAGAAGAAAACACAATTGGGAAAAATTTTGTATGAAAGGAAAGTCCACATTGCTCTATTACAGGAAACTCTCCATTCATCCTGTGACATAAACATCACTGGGTATACCCCTTATCCATGTAAATGTGAAGGTTGCCAAGGGATTATAACCTATATCAGAAATGACATCCAGGGTGAAGTAGAGCTCCTTAATTGGCACCCCACAGACGCACATAAAGTCACCCTGTGGTATGGCAACAGCAAGCTCATACTTTATAACATCTATTGTCCCCCAAGTAGCACTCTGAACTTCTTGGAACAGAGCACTATCTTTAAAAAGACGGTCATAGCTGGTGACCTTAATGGACACTCCCCCCTTTGGGGCTATGCTGACCAAAACAACACAGGTAAGAGGATTGAAGAACTATGTCTGTCCACTAACCTAATCCTTCTTCAAGATGAGGATTCAAGCAAAACACTTCTTCACAGGAGACATGGGACCCTCCACAGACCAGATCTCACCCTGGTCTCTGCTGATTTACACAACAATTGCAGTGAAGAGGTGCTAGACTGTATATCTAGTGACCATCGTCCCATTCTCACCAAAATCAGTATACTGAAACACAGACAAAGGAAAAGAAGAACCCGTTGGAACTTCAAGAAGGCAAACTGGGATCTCTTCAGAAAAACAGCTGAGGACACCGTTAAACTGGATGATCTAGACAATAAAAGTATAGACGCCCTTAATAGTGAACTCACCTCCACCATCTTAGATGCTGCAAAGAAGAGTATCCCACAGGGGTGCAGAACCAACTATAAACCCTTTTGGAACCGGCGCTTGGAGAAAGCTACAAAAACTAAAAATGATGCCAGACATGAATATGAGAAAGATCTAAAAAATATGGACAAGAAAATTAAATACAAAAAGGCCGTAGCAGAGGCTAAACTTGTCACCAAGGATTCTAAGAAGGAAGCCTGGACGCAGAAGTGTGAGGGACTCAATTTAAATCAAGGTGGACGTGAAGCTTGGACACTTCTAAATAACCTCACTGGCGAAAAAAGGAAAGAAAACCCCAAACCACTACACACAGAAACCGAAGTTCTCACCAGCGAGTTCAAAAAAGCCGAACACTTCAATAAACATTTTGCCTCCATTAACAAGAGCAGCAAAAGGAATGACCTGGACAGGGGTCTACTGAGTGTTCTGAAAGGAAAAGAGAGAGATTTGATGACACCGAGTATCTTCCAGGACTTCTTAACTAAGCGAGAGTTGGACTGTGCAATCAAGAAACTAAAGAAGCGAAAAAGCCCAGGTCCTGATAAAGTACACAATGAGATGCCTTGGTGAAAAAGCCAAATTGCTACTTCTTAAGCTCTACAACAGAACATGGACCGAGGGAAATCTGCCTAAAGCATGGAAACTAGCTACTATAAACCCAATCTTAAAGAAAGGAAAGAAGGCCAATGACCCTAAAAACTACCGCCCAATATCACCCACGTCCTGTATTGGCAAGCTCTGTGAAAGAATCCTCAATTTTCGTCTTTATTGGTGGCTTGAGTCTTCAGGTCTGATATCACAGTGTCAAGCAGGGTTCAGGTCAAAAGGCAGGACAGAAGACCAGCTCTTCAGGCTCACACAGAAAATCATTGATGGATTTCAAAGAGGGGAACAGACAACGGCTGTGTTTGTGGATCTCCAACAAGCCTACAATAGAGTGTGGAGGAAAGGACTACTCTTAAAACTGCAGAACATGGGAATCAAGGGAAACATGTACTCCTGGATTAAATCATTCCTGACAGATAGACTTATCCAGACCCAGATGGATGAAACCCTATCTTCAAAAGCAGTACTGGAGGAAGGACTCCCACAGGGATCTTCTATCAGCTGTACCTTATTCCTTGTCTTCCTCAATGATGTTTCAGATGTTCTCAAAACAGAAAAAGCCCTTTTTGCTGATGACCTGATCACACTGGAAACTCGACAACAATAAGCAGACGAAGACTACAAGATGATCTAAATTCCCTAGGAACCTATTGCCGTTTATGGAAGATGAAAGTAAATTGCGAAAAAACTGTCTACTCTGTTTTTACGAGAAGCTATAACTTGTAAATGCAGAAATCCCTCTCAAAATAGATGGTACCAACTTGAAAAAGGAGAATAACCCAGTGTATCTTGGAGTACAACTTGACAGCAAGCTCAACCGGAAACAACACACCAACAACCTTAGGAAGAAGGCTATGAAGAGACTTAATCTCATCAAACGACTTGCCAGTACCAACTGGGGATCAGACAAGAACACCTTGAGAGGCCTCTATTTGGGATATACCAGAGCTGTTTTTGATTATAATCTTGTTCTACAAAACATTTGCAGTAAAACTTCAAAGAACTCAATGGACACCATCCAAAACCAAGCTCTTTGTCTTATCTCTGGCGGAATGAGATCCTCACCGACTGCGGCCTGTGAAATCCACACAAATATTGAGCCATTAGAAACTCAAAGAAAAGGGGCAGCTTTAGAAGTATATGAAAGATCTAAAAGACTAGAAAATAACCACCCTTATAAAGTCCTTGTTGACAAGTGAAAACCTAATCAAAGACTAAAAAATACAAAATCTGTACTTGACACTGTTCTCAATCTCCAAGAAAAACATCACCTCCCTGAAAGACGAGAACCTCTGGAAAGAGTTCCCTCAACTCTCCCACCACATCTCACCATAACAAAGCCAGAAATTAGGAAAACACTTTTGGACAAGAGCAATAAAAACACATATCCTGTAGCACTAAAACATTCTGCCCTTGAAACAATTGATTCCTATCCACCAACATGGATCCACTCATACACTGATGGATCTGCGTTTAAGGCAACAATCAACGCTGGTCAGTGATCAACTTGCCCAGTGGGAAAAAAAAAAGAAGTCTTCAACTCCAGCGGGTCCTTCTGCTCCAATTTCATTGCCGAACAACAGGCTATCACCAACACAGCAAACTACATCAACTACTTGTTTGACACTAACCCACTTGCTACCACAGACATCGTTATATTTACAGACAGCCTTTCAACACTAGAGACACTTGAGAGTGGGACTGATGTGAACAAAGATATATTGCATTTGATTTGGAGTCTACATAACTTGATAAGTAGGCACCACGTCAGAGTAGTCCTACAATGGATTCCTGCCCACACTGGGGTACCGGGAAATGAAAGAGCTGATGCTCTGGCAAAGAAAGGAGCTAGCCTCCCTCAGCCTGAAATTCCTACGAATTACACCACCTGCTGCCAAATGATCAAGTCAAACCTCAAGGAAGAGTGGATGAATGATTGGGCCACAGGTACGACAGGAAGGAGGATGTATGGCCACATGAATAAACCTTTGGTCAAAGATCCAATCAATGAGTTGAGTAGGGGAGATCAATCCATAATCTTCCAATTTAGAACACAACATGTACCCCTCAACCAACATCTCAACCGAATTGGAGTAAAGCAGTCTGCTGCCTGCCCACTATGTGACTACCCCTCAGAGACAGTGGAACATCATCTGTTCTTCTGTAGAAATTAACTGATTTAAGGGGATGTTTTCTTCCCAATAAGCTACCCCACACATCTACTTGCCTCTACTCCTCAAGACAACAATTAGAACAAACATGCAACTATTACCGAATGGCATCATGCAGAAGAGTTAACGCTCAGATGCTACTGGATCGCTAACAACAACAACAAATGGCTTTAGCCTACTACCATATGTGTCTGAAAAGTAGTAGAGCATTATTTAAACCTGACTTTACATGTGATAACATTATAATGTTCATTAAAATTTGAGAAAAACTGATTCATCATTTGTTTGCAGAATTGTTCACCTAATCAGTCCTATACTATATTATTACAGATTGCACTTCTGCCGTTGCTTAAAAAGAGCGAATGTGTGCGCCAGCAAGTAGATAACAGCCCTCTGTGTTATACATGTCTGGATGATGATAAGAATCATCGGATGAAGGTGGATATTTATGCAGGCTAAATAACGTAGAGAATCCTATCATGTGTTCCTTGTTTATTGTTGTTCTTTTTTTTTGTCTTATAGCCCTTCACACTTGGAGTCGCATCAAAGGGACAGGAACCTGCCCCACGTTGTCAGGACACTCAGCCAATGTGGTAAGTTGTTTTGACTTTTAAAACTGTTGGAGTTTACAATTTGTTTTCTGTTGATTTTTTCTCACTGCTTTTTTTTTTACTTGAAAAAGACTAAGAATCTTGAAAAAAATCTATTACTGGTACTTTGTTTTTTTTAGTCCGTATTAATATTGTATTCGTCCCTGCAGGTGGGGGGCCCCATACTTTTACTATGGGGGAGCAAGGAATACACTTACCGTCATACTGCGTGTCGTAAGAGGCAACTAAAAGTGCATAGGTTTGGTTGCCCGGAAAGTGCCAGTTTGCGGAGGGCCAACTAGCCGATGAAGTAAAAACAGTCAGTTACAGAAGCATGGACAAACACGGCTTTTTATTTTTCTATCTTGGGAGACGGAGGAGCTTTTGCATCAGCAGGAACAAGGAAGGACAGCGGACAAAGCCGAAAGGACTCTCCTGATCCGAACCCTTCTCTGTCGAACAAGTCTCTCCGGATTGCGTCGTGGAATGTTTGCACCTTGTATGAAGCAGGAAAGAGTTCTCAAGTAGTACAAGAGATGAAGAGATACAGGCTGCTCATACTAGGAGTCAGCGAAACCCACTGGATACAGTCTGGACGGAAGCAGCTCAGCTCGGGGGAACAAGTATTGTATTCTGGGAGGGAAGACAAGCACCATGCGGAAGGAGTGGGAATCATTTTGAGTAAGTATGCACAGAAGTCACATAGAGGTTGGGAACCACACGAGGAGAGGATCATCATTGCCTCATTCACTTCTAGGAGCAAGAACATCAACATGAATATAGTCCAGATCTACGCCCCTACAAATGATTCTTCAGATGTTGGCAAAACTCTAGCTTCGACTCAAAAAGTACGGAACCAGTACAGGAATCAAAAGAATGAAATTCCAAGTAAGTCTCTTAGATGGACACAAGAAAGAGGAGTTTCAACTGCAGTTGAGGAACAGATTTCAACCTCTGGCTGATCTTGGTAGAGAGGGCATGGAGGTAGATACACACTGAACCAAGATCAAAGAAGTCTTTACATCAACATGTCAAAAAGTACTCGGTGCAAAGAAATGAAAGCACAAGGAATGGATTAGCCAACACTCATTGGATTTAATTAGGATAAGAAGACAACTGAAGGCAGAAGCGAATGCAAGTTGAACAAGAGGATCAAGAGCGGATGCATTGAAGCAGAACAGGACAACAGCTAAGGATGTCAAGAAATCACTAAGAAAAGACAATGAGGAATTCATGAACAGAGAAGGCAGAGGAAGCAGCGGTAGAAGGGCACATGTAAATCACTTAGAGGATGGGAGTCCACAAAGACTCTTGCTGGAAAATATGAGAAACCTGAAGTACCAGTAAAGGACCAAGAGGGGAAAACCATTTTTGGAAAGGAAGCTCCGTCGAAACGATGGGTAGAGCATTTTAACAGTCTCCTGAATAGACCACCACCGAGTAACCCACCAAACATCCTGCCAGCAAGAAATGAGTTACCAATCTGCTGTGATGCTCCTTCAAAACAAGAGATTCTGGATGCCATGAAGAAGCCAAACAAAGGTAAAGCGGCCAGTCCTGATCACATTCGACCTGAAGCCCTAAAAATAGATGCCAATGTGACGGCAGACCTCCTCCTCCTCCTTCTGTTTACCAGGATCTGGAATGAGACCAAGTTTCCAAAGGATTGGAAAGAAGGACACCTCATGAAGCTTCCCAGTAAGGGAGATCTCAGCAACTGCAGCAACTACGGAGGGATCACTGTTCTCTCAATACCAGGTAAGGTCTTCAACATAATCATTCTGGAGAAAATCAAGATAGCAACGGATTCAAGACTATGGGATGAACAAGCTGGTTTCCGGAAAAATCGCTCAACCACCAACCAGATTGCCACGCTGAGGATTATTGTGGAACAGTTCCTGGAGTCGAATTCCCAGCTGATCGTCAATTTCCTTGACTATGAGAAGGCCTTTGACAGTGTAGACCGAGCAACACTATGGAAGATAATGAGACACCATGGAATCCCACAGAAGTTGGTGAACCTCATCAAGAGCATGTACCAAGGGACAAGTTGCAGGGTTGTACATGATGGCCAGCTCACTGACAACTTTGACATCAAGACTGGTGTGAGACAGGGATGTTTACTATCACCTTTCTTCTTCATATTGGCAGTCGACTGGCTGATGAAGGAAACCACCAAGAGGACACAGAAATGGTATACAGCGGACCCCATGGACACAGTTGGACGATCTGGATTTCGCTGACAACTTGGCACTTCTGTCGCACACCCAGGAACAGATGCAAGCAAAGACTTCAGTATTAAACAGCCTGTCAGAGTCTGTTGGATTGAGGATCCACCCCGGACAGTCAAAGGTCCTAAGGGCAGATGCACAACGAAAGGAGCTGGTCACAATAGAAGGAAATGCACTAGAAGACGTTGAATCCTTCTGCTATCATGGGAGTATAATTGACAGAGAGGGAGGAACTGGTGCTAAAATAAAGTCCCGTTTTCTCTCTCTCTCTCTCTCTTCTGGCGCTGTGGCTTCATAAACGGTCAGCGATGCCGACAGCATGCAGGAACTCAACACTCGCCTGCGGGTCCTTAAAAAGTGCTGAAAGTGGGTTACTGAAATGTCCCAGCAGATGGGTTCTAGCACGATAGCTGGCGGGACATCTCAGGAACACATGGTCCATAGTTTTGTCCTCCTCCTTGCAGGCTCGACAGGACGGATCTGGGTTGTCTGCTGGCGCAATTTTGTGGAGATATAATCTCAGCTTAGGCATTTTCCACCAGTTCTCATTTGGGAGAGAAGCCGGCGGTCCTGCCGTCTGAGCGAGGCCTCAAGCTGGTATGACGGCGGCTGGGCAAACGGCAGATTGGGTTTTGCCTCTCTTTTCCACTTTGTGCGGGTCAATCGGTGGATGACGGCTT